CCAAAAGGTGCCTTCCTGTAATGCTTTTTTAATGATGGGGGAGGGGTCTGAAGAGCTAAAACCACAGCAGAAAGCCCCTCGTGGATAGGAAGGCTGACCCCAGGGGCATCAGTGCCACCTTGGAGGAGCGCGACTCCGGGAAGCTTCATGAGGACTTGGGTGGATTTCTTCATAAATGTTTGTGCTAGGCACCAAGCATACTGGGAAGAAGAAAATAGATGTCAGTTGTGCCACCATAGAGCTTGCGATCTTGCCCAAGAAGCAAATGATAAGAAAAACAAATATAATCACAAATTGAGAGAAACACTATGAAGAAAATAAAGGGAGTCTGGGGGCCCTACCGTAGATGAGGTGGCCAGGGCAGGCCTCTCTGAGGAGGTGACATTTGAGCTGAGATACAGAGGAGGAGAAGGAGCCACCTTATGAAAGGGGACAAAGAGCATATTCAAAGGACGTGGGCCAAAACTCACCTGGTGTGTTTCAGGAACTGAAGGGTAGTGAGTGGGGTGGATGGGAGGGTGAAGGGGTAGAGGTCAGATCACATAGGGCTGTGTGTGTGTGTGTGTGTGTGTGTGTGNAATATAAATACCACCGGAATGATAGCTCTGGGCCACTGAATCAACACGTGAACCGCTGGAGTTGCCAAGGTGATCTGAATGCGGTTTATCATTAAACCTGACTCCAGATGTTTGTGTTTTCCAAGCCTTGCAGGAAAGGCCTGGGAGCCCCAGGGGAATTGTCATTGACATGTGGCCGAGCTAGTAGCTAAAAATGGGGCCTCCGTGGTCCTCTGTCGTTCGGCCTCTTTAGAGAGACTGGGTGCGGTGGGTCCTTTTCGCCCATCTGGATGGATCTCATCTCCCCGCTGTGGCCCCTCTCCCTGTATTACCTGGACCCAGAATGAATGAAGCTGCAAGCTGCTACAAGCGATAAGAGCCCCTGGGACTTTTCTGGCCCGGCCGGTCTCAGCCCCCTGGCAGAAGGACGAGTGAGTCACAAGAGCCCTCCTTAGCCGAGACTTGCGGCATTTCTTCCTTCCAGCTCCAGCTCTGTGGCTCTCAGGGGCTTCTTTCCTGCCTTGCGTTTCCTGGAGGCAGCAGCTCCTGGAAGGATTATCTCTCAGCAGCATTGTTCTGTTGGTTAGTCAACGGGCTGAGTGCTAATACCTCTTGACATGGAACATATGTGGAAGCTGAAAGAGCTCCAAGAAGTGGGGGCGGGGGTGGCAGCGTGCCTCACACAGCTAACACGTGGGAATACATTTAGAAGGTGATGTTCGTGGGCTCCTCCTCTCAGATGTGCCGCTCGCCGTAATTTCCTCTGACGGGAACATGGCTATTTTTTTTTTGCTTTGTTTTATTATAGAATCATTGCTAAGTTAATGAGAGTGGCTACAAGAATGTAGTGCCACCTCCTCCTGTAAGCACTAGGTGATTCGTGTGGTCCCTTCGTGAGGGCAGGGCTGGGCAGCAGGGTGACATAATGGGGTGGGGGGTGTTGTCTTTGGACGAAGATAGCATGGATCTAAATCACAACCTACTACTTAATAGTCATGCAACTTTGGTCAGAGATACGTATGCTTTCTGAGTCCCAGAGGTGTCATCTGTCTGATGGAGATAACACTTTGTAGGGTGTGAAGAGCTTCAATAAGCTAGTATGTATAAGGTGCTTGGCGGGTACCTGGCCACAGGTAGTGCTTCCTACCTGTTAGGTATGGTGTGTCATATTACTTGTTAGGTCATGTGGCTTCAGCTGTTCCTCTGGCCTGGTCATCTCAGCACGCCCACCCCCTGCCTTTTGGTTTATATGATTTCTGAGGTTCCTTTGAGAGGTGGGTCTGGGAGCAGGTGACTCCAAAAGATATGCTTCTGGGGAAATATTTATGATCACGATGTGCCCCCAATCCCTGGACTCGATCCAACAGCAAGTAGATCAAGCTGAACTCTAGTTGGGGTGACTGACTTTTTTTTT